AAGGTTGAACTTGAGGTTGAACTTGGAGTTGAATTCGAAGGTTGAACTAGAAGGTTGAATTCGAAGGTTGAACTTGAAGTTTGAACTCGAAAATAAACTTGAAGGTTGAACTTGAAGGTTGTACTTGAAGGTTCAACTTGAAGTTTGAACGTGAGGTTGAACTTGAAGGTTCAACTTGGAGTTTGAACTTGAAGTTTGAACTCGAAGGTTGAACTTGAAGGTTGAACTTGAAGGTTGAACTTGAAGGTTGAACATGAAGGTTGAACTTGAAGTTTGAACTTGAACGTTGAACTTGTAGGTTGAACTTGAAAATTGAACTTGAAGTTGGACTTGGAGGTTGAACTTGAAGGTTGTACTTGAAGGTTTAACTTGAAGGTTGAACTTGAAGATTTGACTTGAAGTTTGAACTTGAAGTTTGAACTTGAAGTTTGAACTTGAAGGTTGAACTTGAAGGTTGAACTTGGAGGTTGAACTTGAGGGTTAAACTTGAGGTTTGAACTTGAAGGTTGAACTTGAAGGTTGTACTCGGAGGTTCAACTTGAAGGTTCAACTCGAAGTTAGAATTTGAGGGTTGAACCTAAAGGTTGAACTCGAAGGTTGTACTTGCAGGTTTAACTTGGAGTTTGAACGTGAGGTTGAACTTGAAGGTTCAATTGAAGTTCGAACTTGGAGTTTGAACTCGAAGGTTGAACTCAAAGGTTGAACTCAAAGGTTGAACTTGAAGGTTGAACTTGAGGGTTGAACTTGAGGTTTGAACTTGAAGTTTGAACTTGAACGTTGAACTTGAAGTATGAACCTGAATACTGAACTTGAAGGTTGAACACGAAGTTTCAACTTGGAGGTTGAACTTGAAGTTTGAACTTGAAGGTTGAACTTGAAGGTTGAATTCGAAGTTTGAACATGCAGTTGAACTTGAAGGTTGAACTTGAAGGTTGAAATCACTGGTTGTACTTGGAGGTTCAACTTGAAGTTCCAACAAGAAAGTTGAACTTGAAGTTTGAACCTGAAGTTATACTTGAAGGTTCAACTTGAAGGTTCAACTTGAAGGTTGAACTTGAAGGTTGAACTTGAAAATAAATTTGAAGGTTGAACTGGAAGGTTGTACTTGAAGGTTCAACTTGAAATATGAACGTGAGGTTGAACTCGAAGGTTCACTTTGGAGTTTGAACTTGAAGTTTGAACTCGAAGGTTGAACTTTAAGGTTCAACTTGAAGGTTGAACTTGAAGGTTGAACTAAAAGGTTGAACTTGAAATTTGAACTCGAAAATAAACTTGGAGGTTGAACTTGAAGGTTGTACTTGAAGGTTCAACTTGAAGTTTGAACGTGAGGTTGAACTTGAAGGTTCAATTTGGAGTTTGAACTTGAAGTTTGAACTCGAAGGTTGAACTTGAAGGTTGAACTTGAAGGTTGAACTTGAAGGTTGAATATGAAGGTTGAACTTGAAGTTTGAACTTGAACGTTGAACTTGTAGATTGAACTTGAAAATTGAACTTGAAGTTGGACTTGAAGGTTGAACTTGAAGGTTGTACTCAAAGGTTTAACTTGAAGGTTGAACTTGAAGATTTGACTAAAAGTTTGAACTTGAAGTTTGAACTTGAAGTTTGTACTTGAAGGTTGAACTTGAAGGTTGATTCTGAAGTTTCAACTTGAAGTTTGAACTTGAAGTTTGAACTTGAAGTTTGAACTCGGAGGTTGAACTTGAATGTTGATTTTGAAGTTTGAACCTGAAGTTATACTTGAAGGTTCAAGGTTGAACTTGAGGTTGAACTTGAAGTTAAACTTGAAGGTTTAACTAGAAGGTTAATTCAAAGGTTGAACTTGAAGGTTGTACTTGAAGGTTCAACTTGAAGTTTGAACGTGAGGTTGAACTTGAAGGTTCAACTCGGAGTTTGAACTTGAAGTTTGAACTCGAAGGTTGAACTTGAAGGTTGAACTTGAAGGTTGAACTTGAAGGTTGAATATAAAGGTTGAACTTGAAGTTTGAACTTGAACGTTGAACTTGAAAATTGAACTTGAAGTTGGACTTGGAGGTTGAACTTGAAGGTTGTACTTGAAGGTTTAACTTGAAGGTTGAACTTGAAGATTTGACTTAAAGTTTGAACTTGAAGTTTGAACTTGAAGGTTGAACTTGAAGGTTGAACTTGGAGGTTGAACTTGAGGGTTAAACTTGAGGTTTGAACTTGAAGGTTGAACTTGAAGGTTGAACTTGAAGGTTGAACTTGAAGGTTGTACTCGGAGGTTCAACTTGAAGGTTCAACTCGGAGTTAGAATTTGAGGGTTGAACCTAAAGGTTGAACTTGAAGGTAGTACTTGCAGGTTTAACTTGAAAATTGAACTTGGAGTTGGACTTGGAGGTTGAACTTGAAGGTTGTACTTGAAGGTTCAACTTTGAGGTTGAACTTGAAGATTTGACTTAAAGTTTGAACTTGAAGTTTGAACTTGAAGTTTGAACTTGAAGGTTGAACTTGAAGGTTGATTCTGAAGTTTCAACTTGAAGTTTGATCTTGAAGTTTGAACTTGAAGTTTGAACTCGGAGGTTGAACTTGAATGTTGATCTTGGAGTTTGAACCTGAAGTTATACTTGAAGGTTCAAGGTTGAACTTGAGGTTGAACTTGGAGTTGAACTTGAAGGTTGAACTAGAAGGTTGAATTCGAGGGCTGAACTTGAAGTTTGAACTCGAGCATAAACTTGAAGGTTGAACTTGGAGGTTGTACTTGAAGATTCAACTTGAAGTTTGAACGTGAGGTTGAACTTGAAGGTTCAACTTGGATTTTGAACTTGAAGTTTGAACTCGAAGGTTGAACTTGAAAGTTGAACTTGAAGGTTGAACTTGAAGGTTGAATATGAAGGTTGAACTTGAAGGTTGAACTTAAACGTTGAACTTGTAGGTTGAACTTGAAAATTGAACTCGAAGTTGGACTTGGAGGTTGAACTTGAAGGTTGTACTTGAAGGTTTAACTAGAAGGTTGAACTTGAAGATTTGACTTAAAGTTTGAACTTGAACTTTGAACTTGAAGTTTGAACTTGAACGTTGAACTTGGAGGTTGAACTTGAAGGTTGAACTTGAGGGTTAAACTTGAGGTTTGAATCTGAAGGTTGAACTTGAAGGTTGTACTCGGAAGTTCAACTTGAAGGTTCAACTTGAAGGTTCAACTCGAAGTTAGAATTTGAGGGTTGAACCCAAAGGTTGAACTCGAAGGTTGTACTTGCAGGTTTAACTTGGAGTTTGAACGTGAGGTTGAACTTGGAGGTTCAATTGAAGTTCGAACTTGGAGTTTGAACTCGAAGGTTGAACTCGAAGGTTGAACTCAAAGGTTGAACTTGAAGGTTGAACTTGAGGGTTGAACTTTAGGTTTGAACCTGAAGTTTGAACTTGAAGGTTGAACTTGAAGTATGAACCTGAATACTGAACTTGAAGGTTGACCTTGAAGTTTCAACTTGGAGGTTGAACTTGAAGTTTGAACTTGAAGGTTGAACTCGAAGGTTGAATTCGAAGTTTGAACATGCAGTTGAACATGAAGGTTGAACTTGAAGGTTGAAATTGCTGGTTGTACTTGGGGGTTCAACTTGGAGTTCCAACTTGAAAGTTGAACTTGAAGTTTGAACCTGAAGTTATACTTGAAGGTTCAACATGAAGGTTCAACTTGAAGGTTGAACTTGAAGTTTGAACTTGAAAATAAACTTGAAGGTTGAACTGGAAGGTTGTACTTGAAGGTTCAACTTGAAATATGAACGTGAGGTTGAACTCGAAGGTTCACTTTGGAGTTTGAACTTGAAGTCTGAACTCGAAGGTTGAACTTGAAGGTTGAACTTGGAGGTTGAACTTGAAGGTTCAACTCGAAGTTTGAACTTGAAGTTCAAACTTGAAGGTAAAACTCGACGGTTGAACTTGAAGGTTGAACTTGAAGTTTGAACCTGAAGTTATACTTGGAGGTTCAACTTGAAGGTTGAACTTGAAGGTTGAACTTGAAGGTTGAACTTGAAGGTTGAACTTGAAGGTTGAACTTGAAGGTTGAACTTGAAGGTTGAACTTGAAGGTTGAACTTGAAGTTTGAACTAGAAGGTTGAACTTGAAGTTTGAACTCGAGAATGAACTTGAAGGTTGAACTTGAAGGTTGTACTTGAAGGTTGAACTTGAAGTTTGAACTAGAAGGTTGAACTTGAAGTTTGAACTCGGGAATAAACTTGGAGGTTGAACTTGAAGGTTCAACTCGAAGTTTGAACTTGAAGTTCAAACTTGAAGGTAACACTCGACGGTTGAACTTGAAGGTTGAACTTGAAGGTTGAACTTGAAGGTTGAACTTGAAGTTTGAACTAGAAGGTTGAACTTGAAGTTTGAACTCGAGAATAAACTTGAAGGTTGAACTTGAAGGTTGAACTTGAAGGTTGTACTTGAAGGTTCAACTTGAAGTTTGAACGTGAGGTTGAACTTGAAGGTTCAACTTGGAGTTTGAACTTGAAGTTTGAACTCGAAGGTTGAACTTGAAGGTTGAACTTGGAGGTTGAACTTGAAGGTTGAATATGAAGGTTGAACTTGAAGTTTGAACTTGAACGTTGAACTTGTAGGTTGAACTTGAAAATTGAACTTGAAGTTGGACTTGGAGGTTGAACTTGAAGGTTGTACTTGAAGGTTCAACTTGAAGGTTGAACTTGAAGATTTGACTTAAAGTTTGAACTTGAAGTTTGAACTTGTAGTTTGAACTTGAAGGTTGAACTTGAAGGTTGATTCTGAAGTTTCAACTTGAAGTTTGAACTTGAAGTTTGAACTCGGAGGTTGAACTTGAATGTTGATTTTGAAGTTTGAACCTGAAGTTATACTTGAAGGTTCAAGGTTGAACTTGAGGTTGAACTTGGAGTTAAACTCGAAGGTTGAACTAGAAGGTTGAATTCGAAGGTTGAACTTGAAGTTTGAACTCGAAAATAAACTTGAAGGTTGAACTTGAAGGTTGTACTTGAAGGTTCAACTTGAAGTTTGAACGTGAGGTTGAACTTGAAGGTTCAACTTGGAGTTTGAACTTGAATTTTGAACTCGAAGGTTGAACTTGAAGGTTGAACTTGAAGGTTGAACTTGAAGGTTGAATATGAAGGTTGAACTTGAAGTTTGAACTTGAACGTTGAACTTGTAGGTTGAACTTGAGGGTTGAACTTGAGGTTTGAACTTGAAGGTTGAACTTGAAGGTTGAACTTGAAGGTTGTACTCGGAGGTTCAACTTGAAGGTTCAACTCGAAGTTAGAATTTGGGGGTTGAACCTGAAGGTTGAACTTGAAGGTAGTACTTGCAGGTTCAACTTGAAGGTTGAATATGAAGGTTGAACTCGAAGTTTGAACTCGAACGTTGAACTTGTAGGTTGAACTTGAAAATTGAACTTGATGTTGGACTTGGAGGTTGAACTTGAAGGTTGTACTTGAAGGTTTAACTTTGAGGTTGAACTTGAAGATTTGACTTGAAGTTTCTACTCGAAGTTTGAACTTGCAATTTGAACTTGAAGGTTGATTCTGAAGTTTCAACTTGAAGTTTGATTTTGGAGTTTGAACTTGAAGTTTGATCTCGGAGGTTGAACTTGAATGTTGATCTTGAAGTTTGAACCTGAAGTTATACTTGAAGGTTCAAGGTTGAACTTGAGGTTGAACTTGAAGTTTGAACCTGAAGTTATACTTGAAGGTTCAAGGTTGAACTTGAGGTTGAACTTGAAGTTAAACTTGAAGGTTGAACTAGAAGGTTGAATTCGAGGGTTGAACTTGAAGTTTGAACTCGAAAATAAACTTGAGGTTGAACTTGAAGTTTGAACTTGAAGGTTGAACTCAAAGGTTTGTAGCGAACTCATGCAATTTTGAATAATGATGTTTGAACAATAAACTAGATTATTATGTTGGCTTACAAGGCACAGCAGCTTTTCGTCTGGCGAGCAATGGTAGTGGATTCAGATTGTTGAGTGACAAAGGGCGCCACTTGATTTGATTTAAATTAACCAAGAAAGTAAGATGATATAATAATCCAGCTAATTACCTGAAAGAGAAATCTGAGAAAAAACACTGTGTGAACTCAATATAATTTAATGCATGATTCTAGGAATATTCTGACAGCACCTTTTTCACAATGGTGTAAATTGACTGGTAGTATCCAGACTATCTCTTAACAAAATGGTACACATGGATGGTGCAAAAATACCCTAACTTCCTAAAATTCCCCTATAGTACTATATTGGGATATACACTTATGAAAAATAGTTTTATACTTTGATATTATTTAAATGTGAAAGTAGCAATATCAGATGAATACCTCATGTACAAAACAAATTATGAATTATGGGGTAATAACTTCACTTAAAAAAAAATTGGGGCAATGAAAATTTCTGGTGGTGTTTCTTACTCAACCATCTACAAGATGACCATCATTGAAGGACTATTTCCATCATTGAAGTCTATTCAGGAGCCAGAAGACAGGCTAGGGTTGAGCCAGAAGACAGGCTAGGGTTGAGCCTGCGTGGAAGACAGCCTGCATTGAAGACAGCCCAGGTGGAAGACAGCCTACAACCTTCAACTGTGCTGGTGTCGCTGCTCCCAGCCCAGCAGTTGATTGAGATACAGCAGGTGATGAAAGTTCAGCTCCAGGTTGGTCAATGTAGCACCGGAGACTTCTCACACAGAGTAGACCTGGCAGATGTGGCCATGTGAGTTGCCTTCCAGGGCCCCTTCGTGGTGAACTCGTTGACTCGACGTCCCGGATTGCACTCCCCTCAGGCTTCGAAGTGAAGACTAGTCGGCTTAGGGCTCCAATAAATCTAGATTTGGCATCTAACAGCCGGTCCCAATGCCAAGACAAAATGGCCTCGTGGGTGACTTGGATTAGGTATCCCAAGGAGGCCCACAAATCTAATAGAATAGATCCCCAAATTATTGACGACCTCACCAAATAGAAGATAACAAACTCTAGAACCAACTGGTTATTTCCAACTTACCCCTAGCAGGAAAGGCCTCACTTTTCCAAATGATGCACAGAAAATGTTTCTCTTTCATCTTGCAGCCTACAAGTAAAATTGGTAAGGACGGAAACGCCGTCTACTAATTTTGGAAGGGGTATTTCCTATTGAAATTTCTGGGTTTTTCGTCCCCAAAAATTATGTTAAGAAAACAGGACTTACACACAGCGCAGCCCTACATTGTCACATCGACGCTGAGCGTCATACATGTGACCTCCTTCCAACACTGGGATTGGCTCAAAATGAAACAGAAGCGGCGAAATCACGATCAAATCCGACCTTTCCGACTTTACCCGAAACCATAAGATAACAGAATCATCACAGAATATGAAAATGAGGACACGACTTGACATCCACACAGAACCACAGAATTACGGTCAGCCTCCGGATGAGTGTCTAGCGCCAGTGATGAGAACAGTATGCTGGCTGCTGCTCTGTGATTGGACGTTCTGTCCTCTCACAACGTCGAGTGCTAGGTGGTCTGTGTGATGACTCTCGACACTATCATCCTTGCTGACATTATGTCAAACGATTTGTCAAAATAAAATTCCAATTGCTGCGAAACAATAACAAACCAATTCAAAATTGTTTCATTTTCGAAGCTGACAAAAACGACGATCCTCCTGGTAATGGAACCAAGATTCCTACCAGGAATATCTGCATAGGCTCATCTAGAAGTACCAGAAGTCCTAGACCTGCTACTTCATCCTAGATAATGCAAAATCCACCAGCACAACAGAAGATAGAATGGAGATGGAAATCTAAACACTTCCTAACAGGTGAGTAGGTACCTAAAGAGTTTTATATTCAAATTTCAATGTTTACTTTTATTTCCAGGTCTGGTCCACAATGAGAAGTCAATCTCCAAGAATCTCTACCCTAATTTTATGTGTTATGTAGATACCTATGATGAATAAAGGAAATTACTTACACAGTGAGTGACTCACCACTCTCTGAATCTTTGAACACTAGAATGGAACTGAAAATTCGAGGTGAAAGTTAATTTTCACGTTACACACACCCCCCTACTAAAAAAAGAAAAATTCTGCCAAAGAATTTTTTTTCGCCTAAATACTACTCATGAAGGGTTGTCGAGTTCATTTTTAACCATAGAGAATTCATTTTCATATATTTACAACTTAAACTAGGCGCGCCTCATACTACCTTACTCCTAAACCTTAAGTGTTGCTAAACCCTTAACTAGCCTTAATCATTACTATAAACAACTTGGATACTTCAAATCTGCTTTAAGCACTTGCTGATTGGGAATCATATTCAATCTGATGCTATAGATCCTGTCTCTTCTTCAACAGAGAGATCGGACATCGACCCATGATAGGGCTTTGTATCTTGTATATGCCAAACTCCGGCATTAGAGCCGTCTCCATTTTTGAGGACATATTATACTAACTTAGACTCTTTCTTTGCTACTGTGCAAAGTACAAATCGCGGTGCTAGTTTCTGAGCAAAGTTATTGCCTGCATTAGACAAAACAACATTTTTCTTCCAAATTCTGTCTCTAACAAAAAATTCCTCATCACGTCTACGTAAGTTGTAATACTTAGCGTTTTTCTGATGTACAACATGAATTTTATTCTGAACTTCTTCATAAATTTTTGACATTTTTCCTAAGTTTTGAATCCAATATTCTCGATTAACTGACCATTACCTGGTACTTCTCTCCCAAAATTTAAAAAAGCCGGACTATACCCTGTCACTTCGTGAATACTAGTTCTTAAAGCATACCCTATTTTTGCTAATTCCTTGTCCCATAACTTATGATTCTTATCAATATAGCTGCGAATAGCCGTGCAGATGGTTCTATTTGTTCTTTCAACATAGTTAGCTTGCGGATGATAGTAGGCGGTATAAAAAATATTCGAGTCATAGCTCTTAACAAGTTCTTTCATTGACTTACTGATCAACTGCCTGCCATTATCGCAGATGATATGCTGTGGAACACCATAGACCAAAAAAATTTCATTTTCCAAGAACTTGTTGATACTAACAGAGGTAGCTTTTCTAAGTGGACATACAACGGGGTACTTGGTAAGCCAATCACTTACAACCAAAATATATTGATACCCACTTGAAGTTCGTGGTAAAGGACCCATAAGGTCAAGTGCTATCACTTGCCACGGAAACCTAACTTTCTTTTCGGCACCCATTAGTCCAAACTTTGCGTAATTCGGTGACTTTTGCGCAGAACAAACTTTGCAAGATTTTATATATCGTAAAATGTCATGTCTCATTTTAGGCCAATAGTAAGTCAGTTGAATTCGAGATATAGTTTTATGATAACCCATGTGGGAGGAAGTAGGAACATCATGACATAGACGGATAATTTCAACACATTGGCTCTTGGGGACTAATAGTTTCCAATCAGAAAAATATTTGACTTAACACGACACTTGGAAGGTGCTAATTTGTAGATAAAATCGTTCTTTACGGACCACTGTGGAAAATCCTCAGGGCTTTCAAAAATTTTTTTTCGCAAATTTACATAAAATGGCTCTAAGTTGTCTAGATTAATATTTAGGCTGATGCACTCGTTTTCCTCCTCTAGTACACAATTATATTCGGTTACTTCCTCAGGTGACTCTACCGGGCTTCTTGATAAAGCATCAGGTACGATATTCAATTTTCCAGCCTTATGCTGTATAGAAAAATCAAACTGACTCAAACGAACGCTCCACCTGGCTATACGGCCTATGGGCTCTTTGATTTTGAACATCCATTTCAATGAGGCGTGGTCAGTAACTAAAGTGAAATGCACCCCTTCAATATACCCTCGAAACTTTTCACAAGCAAATATACATGCTAGACATTCTTTTTCGGTCACTGTGTAGTTGCGCTCATTTCTTGATAGACTTCGTGAAACAAATGCTATCACTCTCTCTTGATTATCTTGAATTTGCGTGAGAACACAACCTAGTCCTGAGTCAGATGCGTCGCATTGTATGGTGAAAGGAAGTGAAAAATTGGGACTTGACAAAATTGGTGCTGATACCAGAGCTTGCTTAATGTCTTTGAATGCTTTTTCTGCCTTATCTGACCAGTTGATTCTCTGACCTTTTTTCTTGTTCTTCAATAAATCATTAATTGGAGTCATAAGAGTAGAAAAATGAGGAATAAACCTTCGGTACCAACCGCACATACCAGTGAATCGTTTAATTTCTGTTGTGTTATGAGGCTGTGGAAATTCAACCATGGCTTTCACCTTGTTAGGATCAGTTCGTAAGCCTAACTTGTCAATGATGAATCCCAAATATTTCAAAGATTCCCTAAAGAATTCGCATTTTTCAAAATTAACCGTCAATTTCGCGTCCTTCAGACGCTTGGCCACTTCCCGGAGTAAATTTATATGTTCCTCGAATGTTGAACTTACAATAATTAAATCGTCTAAATACACAAAAATATTTAGCTCCAGCTCTGGACCAAAAATTGCGTCCATAAGGCGCTGCTGAAACTGGGCTGCATTTGCCAAGCCGAACGGCATAACTTCAAATTGAAATAGTCCTCGAGAGGGAACTGAAAATGCGTTTTTTTCTTTGGAACTTTCATCTAGAGGAATTTGCCAGAATGCGCTACGTAAATCAACAGATGACATATATCTTG